GAATAGAATAGAATAGAATAGAATAGAATAGAATAGAATAGAATAGAATTCTTTATTGGCCAAGTGTAATTTGACACACAAGGAATCTCTTTGGTGCATAAACTCTCAGTGTATATAAAAGCTATAATCATGATCATAGTCATCATAAAAATATATTCATCATAAATCATAAGATGCAACACAGTGAGAGTCATAGGATACTAAATAAGCAATCAACATAAATCATATTAGGAAACAAAATAAAGCAATATAAATCGTAAAGATACAAGCAACAACGTTATAGTCATAAGAAGAAAAGGAGATAGGTAATAGGAAAGATGAGAAGAATAACAGTAATACAGCCTTAGTAAATATTTTGACGGTGTTGTGGGAGTTAATTGTTTAGCAGAGTGATGGCATGGAGGAAAAAACTGTTCTTGTGTCTGGTTGTTCTGGTGTGCAATGTCCAGGCGTGAATTACACAAATGCCTGGGGTTTTCTCAAACTTCACAACTTTGAAAATGTGCATTCTGCATGTTGGCTGGGGAATTCTGGGTAGTTGAAGTCCACGCATCTGAAAGCTGCCAAGGTTGAGAAACACTGCATGTCTCTTCACAGAGCAAGTATCTTTTGAAAGAAAAGTGTTGAAAACAAGCTGATGGAGTCCAGCCAGAAACGAATGCAAGAAAGGAGATTATCCCCTCTTTCCACCAGATTGGTCGAATTACAAATAATACCAACAAATCAAATAGTTTTTAATAGAGGTTTTTAACATTATCCCTTAAGCTGCATCCTGGCAACTGTTTGCAAAAGCTCATTGAATAAAGGGTTCCTAACTTCCTGGCAAGAAATATATATAATACATTTTTATCTATTTTGGACAGATGGATATAGACAAGACAGGTGACCCGCGGCTTATAGAACTTGATGAGTCCCACAAGAGCGAGCACACCGTCTTTGTAACACCCCCAGAGATTCCTCATCTGCCCAACGGAGAGGAACTCCCATATCAGTACAGGTAATCCTGGGGACCTTTCAAGCCACCCGGTGAAATCCCAAGGGTGTTTTTTTTTTCAAGAGGCAATTGGACTTCTTTGTTTTTCATTGAAGACATTTCTCTTCTCCTCCAAGAAGCTTCTTCAGTTCTGACTGGATGGTGGGGAAGGGAAGGATTGATACTCCTTGCAGACAGCTGGTCATTTGCCTCCTTTTATTTAGAGAGTCGTTGGAGGTTTGTCTGTGTCCTCAGGCTCACCTGAGTGGCGCAAATGGATCTTGTAGCTTGCCATTTTTCCTCTGGAAATCCATTCCTCCTCCCACACCATTTGAAGGGTGTCCATCCCAAAGTGCATAGCTAAAAGTCTGTAAAGGTTCTCAGTCATCCAAGTCATGGTTGCCCCAGAGATGCCTTTTCAGGAGGCAACTGGACTTTGGTGGTTTTTCCTTGAAAATTTTCCGCTTCTCATCCAAGAAGCTTATTCCGCTCTGAACAGGATGGTGTGGAATGGAAGGATTGATACTCCTTGCAGACAGCTGGTCATTTGCATCCTTTTTAGAGAGTCATTCAGGCCACTTGGAGGTTTATCTGTGTCCAAAGGTGGTGCAAATGGGAGTGGAGCCTTCTTGGCAGAAAACTTTCCTGCAGCTTTCTACAGCTGAGCAATTTTAATTAACGGCGGTTTTCGTCTTCTTGATTGCAAATCATTTTAGTGGATGTAAATGGGCACATTTTAGTTACGCATGGATTTGCTACTAGAATATTGCACCTAGAAAAGGCACCTATTTAGAATGTCAGCTTCAGAGGTTGGCAGTGAGCTGTCTCGATGAACAATGATCAGACTGCAGTCATATGCAGCAGGTTTGTACCACATCCAGCCTGAATGACTGCAGAATATTCTATACTGAGCTTCATTTTGAAAGGGGTTTAAAATTTCAGCGCATAGCCTTTCTAACGTATTTTTTACTTGTGCTCTAAGAGCCTTTTCATTGTACTTCAGCAACAGCTAACAAGTCTCTTGTACCAATTAAGATAAAACTCACGTAATGAATTTAATTATTTGATGTCCCAGACAGTATTTTTTTTTCTGTTGTTTTTCACCCACTTTGAGACCCCATTTTCGTCCATCATCTAATTTTCTCTACCAAATGAATCTATGGTTTAGTATCGATTTTCATGGGCTGTTTTTTCTGCTGCTTCGCTAAAAACTAAATAAGCTTTATAAACTGCATTCTTAAATGTGGTCAATACTAATGAAGTTGTCAGTCTGAATAGCACATGAAAATTAAAAAAAAAAAAACCATCCTGGTTAAATACTGAAATTGAAGTAACAGTACAGTTTCCCGAACAGCAATTAGTTCTTGAGCAATGACATGAAGAGACCTCAAAGCCTCAAGGTGTGTCTTCCAGGTCAATTGGCCATGTTTTTTGATTCTCACAGAGACCAGTCTTCTACCTCAGGGACCACCAAACTCATCATTTTAAATCCCATGGACCAGAGACCCTGGGAAAATCCCCCAAAAAGTCTGCAGGAAAATTCCCCACCCCGTTTTCCTACCGATTGATTGTTCTTTATTTGGGATCGCAGGATACAGTCTCCAGCTCCTTTCTTGGGGGGGGGGGGGAGAGACTTTTGGCTTCATGCAAGGAAAGCAGCAGAAGCAGCAGAAGTCTTTCTTTCCCTCCCCCAAACTCCGTCAGAAAGACTGTGATGTCAATATAAACTTCTGGATTTCAGAATTTGGAAGCGTTTCTCTTTAAGAGTAAATGTATGTTGTATAACATATGAACGTAACGTACATTTTAGAAATAAGTTCATCAGTAAAAAATAAGTAACAACTAAGTAGCAGCCCTTCTCAGGAACTTTGTGGTCTCCTACAATAGATGAAATAAAATACGGTCCAGTCGGGAAATAAGCATTTTAGACACGCTCCAGATATTCTACCTTAATGGCAAAGTATGAAAGAGCCTTCAAGGGGTTTGTTGAGTACAAGTAAATAAAAGTATGCTTTAATTTTTTTTTTTAGCTACAATGGATTTCCGGTACTAAAGCAAAATTTATTTGAGCAGCCAGCAGGACTTCTGACGATACAGAACAGCAAATTGTCTTCGAAAGTCAGCAGTCCAAACAGTCCTTTGCCAGTGTTCAGAAGAACAAAACAGGTAATTTTTATATTTGTGGTATAATCCAGAGTTAACACAGGTGAAAATAGAAATAACAAATTAGATGCACGTAAAATCTCATGGGATTGCTGCTGTGGGGTAACTTGCCTACATAAACATCTTGAAGAAGATGTTACATTTCTTTAGTTTAATTTCTGTAAGACATTTTATCTAAGCAAGCTGTCAGCAAGAATTCAAAATCTAATTTGGATAATATTAAGATGGAGTTTATCTTATGTCAGCTGAATTACAAAGGTAAAACACAAGCATTTCACCTGAAACATTCTGCCCCCAAATTTATTGGTACGTACATCCTGGTGAATGTATAAATCCTGTATAAATATTTCATCTTTCTCAGGGTCTCAAATCACTTTACTTTGCAAATATATTAGCCACACTAGATTCCTTCCTTCATTTTGCAATTCTTGTTGTGCCTTTAGTCTATTTCTTGAGTCTAGATGTATCATGTCGACATATGTCATCAGATCTTTCTTGCCATCATTATCTTTGAAATCAGAAGTATTTGACAGTGATGCTAGTGGTAAAATAGTTGGATTTATCCTTGCCTTTAAGGAATTTTCTATTTCTGTCACTTCATATTATTGTCTTCTTTGTTCTTTTATATCATTGATATCTGTGAAAACCATTGTTTAAGTTTTCTCTTTCTGTAGTTTATATTCTACAAATAGGAATTTTTATTCATTCGGGCATCATGATAAATGGCATACTTTATAATATAATCTGAAATTGGGAAAAACTAGTTTTGCCTTCCCCCTTCTATGACTTGCAAAATTTTGAATCTTATTCTTCTTGTTCCCCATTCCACATCAATCTATTAATTGTTCTTTACCAATTCTGCAATTTGTTTTAATCTGGGATTTGAATTGGTGCCATTTGAAATAAGTTCATCTCAGGTAATACAATTATTTTTATTGCTGCTATAAGTCTTAGCCAGGAAACTTTTAAACTTTTCCATCTTTCAATGTTTTATTTTATTTCCTTCCATAATTTATTATAATTGTTTTAAATTGTATCCCATCAAGTAAACATTTCACTGGATCTTTTGTTATATCAGGCTCTTTTTTCCACAAAAAAATTTACCTGGAAATTAAGTTTTTGTATTATCTCCGTTGGTTTTATGTCTGGAAAAGCAACCAATATATTTAATTAATTTCATCAATTGCCATGTAGAGTTTTGTGATTTCTAATTATTAATACTTCACCATTTGCATAACAATGAAGACTTGAATTTTGACTTTGAATTATCTATTTCTTTATTGTTTTAGGTCTTGTTGGCCAAGATTCAAATAACAAATGCTTGTTGTATGCTACCCAGAGTTGCTTTTAGTGAACAGCTATGCAAAAATGATAGATAAGCAAAATTTCTAAGGCCAGATTCCAAAACTATGATTCTTAAAATATATTTATTAAACTTTAGTGACAAAAGAAGTATGCTAAGGAGCAAAGTGTAACTTTTAAAAAGCTAATTTTAGAATGAAGGCTGGGATTAATGTATATACTGTATTAGAGTGATAGAACAATGGCAAAGCAAATGAGAATTAAGAATGATATAATAATAATGGCAAAAAAATGAAATTAATAAATTGAATGTTAAAATGAGGTGCATCTGAGGGATTGCAAGACCTAATCCTGCCATCATGTAGTACAGAGGTCTCCAAACTTGGCAACTTTAAGCCTTGTGGACTTCAACTCCCAGAATTCTGGGAGTTGAAGTCCACAAGGCTTAAAGTTGCCAAGTTTGGGGGACCCCTGATGTAGTAGAAGCCCTCTGCTTCTCAGTCACCCAAGCAAAGGTTGAAGGTTTGTGGTGGATTTTAAAGAGAAGCCAGGACCCTCCTTCCTCACTTGGTATTACAATCTAATTGTCAGGATTCCGGCAGTTCCCCCCATTTAAATCATGAGTCTCGAGCCAAACTTCCAAAACTTCAAAAGGATTTATTGGGAGTTAACATGTCTGGCATTGCCTGGGTGTAGCCGAATCAGAGACACATCATTCACTGTCACCCTTGACCCTGGTTTTCCCCCACCCCTTGGGTGTATCGTAATTCATATTCTCCAATGGGACACATCCATAGCCAAGAGTCATCAATCATGTTCTCCAGTTAGAATTTTGCACGGCAGAAACTTCAGTCACCTAGTTACTATCTTTGAAAAACTATTTATGGAATGCAGTTTGGGTTTTGCAAGCTGCCGCACTGCTCCCCCCTCCTCCCTTTCTGTTGGCACCTCCAAAAAGACCATAGAAATATTTTATGAGTTGATCCCAGTATTTGGTCCAGGATTCACAAATCCCTGCGGTGCTGCAGCTGGGATTAACCTCTTCCTCCCTGCCTCTCTCTGCAGGAAATCAAGTCTGCGCACAAGATCGCCAAGAGATATTCCTCCATCCCCCAGATGTGGTCCAGGTGTTTGCTACGCCATTGCTACGGCCTGTGGTTTATCTGCCTGCCTGCTTACGTCCGCGTTTGCCATTCCAAAGTGAGGGCCCTGAGGACAGCCTACGATGTCCTGCGCAAGATGCACACGAAAAAGATCGAGCCACCTGATGAGGTAAAAGGGCAGGCTTTCTGTCAGATGAGGCTGTTGACAGGTGGGTTAGCTTTCCAAGACTGGAAAAATAACCACTATATATCTCTCTCTCTCCCTCTCCCTCTCCTGGTCTCTCTGTTTCTTTCCTTCCTTCCTTATTTCTTTCTTCTTTCCTTCCTTCTTTCACTCCTTTCTTGCTTGCTTGTTTTCTTTCTCCCTCCCTCCCTCCTTTCTTTCTTTCTTTCTTTCTTTCTTTCTTTCTTTCTTTCTTTCTTTCTTTCTTTCTTTCTTTCTTTCTTTCTTTCCTTCCTTCCTTCCTTCCTTCCTTCCTTCCTTCCTTCCTTCCTTCTTTCTTTCTTTCTTTCTTTCTTTCTTTCTTTCTTTCTCCCTTCTTTCTCCCTTCTTTCTTTCTTTCTTTCTTTCTTTCTTTCTTTCTTTCTTTCTGTCAGGTATGCTACCGGGTGTTGATGCAGCTCTGTGGGCAGTACGGTCAGCCTGTCTTAGCCGTGAAAGTCCTTTTCGAGATGAAGAAAGCTGGCATCGATCCTAATGCCATTACCTATGGTTACTACAACAAGGTAAAATGAATATTTGAGATCAGATCAGATGGAAATACCAGCTCTCTCCCCTGTCTTTGATTAGCCCTTGTTTTCCAAGCATCCTTTCCATACTCCAAATGAGCTTATCCAGAGTTATATATCATATTTTTAAAAAACCTCCTGTCTCCCTTATACAGCAACTCTGGGCAATGTACAAATAGACATAAGACATAATAGCTGTATATAAATATTATAATAAAAATATTTTTATTTATCTATTGATTGCCTATCTAGGCACAGGGTAACTCTGCGTGGCTTACACTATTGAAAAGATAAAACTGTACAAAGCCTATAGACAATATAAATAAAATGCAATTAAAAAAGTGAAATGTTTAATCCTAACTTATAGATGGGGAGCGGGGAGTAGGATGAGAAAGGGAGGGAGGTGGGATTTGTTATTAATCTATCCACCACCTCCATTGTAAAAACAAAGAAAAAAACCTCCTTGGAGCTGCAATTGAAAACGAGAATAAAATCATTAGAATTTAAAAAATCAGAGGAGGAGCTTCAAGGTCCTAAAAAGGCCCGTGGCTTTTTGCTCCTCTGGGCTTCCCACATGAAGCAGCAGAGTCATGTTTTAACATGTTTTAACAGAGTGAAGACCTGCCTTACCTCCAGGGGGAAAAAATTCCATAGGGTTGGGGGCAACAGCCGAGAAGGCTCCCTTCCTGGGCCCTATCAGTCAGAATTCTTTCACTTTTAAATCTTTCTAGCCTAGTATCAGGCCTTTTGACACTGGCAAGCTCTGAAAACAAAAACTTCTTAGCTTTCTGTAAAGATCTTTATTGTGAACAGGGTAATGTAACAGAATTTTAAAATCCTGCTCAAGCCATTCTCCATATGAGTTCCCCAAGTGCTGTTAGGCATTCCCTCATACCTACACCCTTGGTGATCTTCTGTAGAGTTGCTAATCAAGTAACCCAGCTTGGAACCAAGGAGAAATTTCCTGTCGTGAGAACAATTAATTAGTGTAGGCCCCCCCCAAACTTGGCAACTTTAAGACTTGTGGACTTCAGTTCCCAGAATTCATCAGCAAGTCATGTCTGTTATCCCCCAAAGAGGAGAGATTGCAGAGGAAGGGATTGCAAGAGAGTAAGCTATGCTGGCTGGAGTCTCCTGGGAGTTGAAGTCCACAAGTCTTAAAGTTGCCAAGTTTGGAGACCTCTGAATTAATGGAGCAGCTTGCCTCCCAGAGTTGGGGTTCTCCATTACAGGAGGTAAAGGTCTGTGGAGATTCTCAGTCATCCAGCTCATGGTTGTCCCAAAATGTGCCTTTTCAAGAGGCAACTAGAGGTTTTCAAGAAAATTGAACAAAGATTGAACAGAAATTGAACAACCATTTGTCTGGTTATGGTAGAGGATCTCCTGTTTGAATAGGGAGTTGGACTGAAAAACCTCCAAAGTTCCCTTCCAACCCTATTATTCCATATTGTATGTATGTCATTAGGACACAACAGTGAGAACAAGTAATCTGTCAGTCTGTGCTCCATTCAAAATCCAAGAAAGAAATACTCAGACTCCATAGATTAGAGCAAAGTTTTTCTTTTACTGAAATTCAAAGTGGAAGCTACAGGTAGAATTCTGAATCTAAGGAATTTGGCGCGCAGATCACATATACAAAGGGATGGAATTGTTCCCACCCCCCAAAGTTCAAAAGATTCTTCCAATTAAAAGTTCTGAATATGAACATGTGGGCATCTTCAGGTGGTGATGAGGTCTCTGTCCGTTGACCTTGACATATTTTGATAAAACTTCGCAGCTGCGCAAAGGAAAGAAAGCTAAGCAAGGAAATAGAAACTTAAGAGCAGGAATTTATACTCCCCCCCCCCCACAACTCCTCATTTATACAAGACAAGAATGTAACACCTCCAGTTCTCTTCCCACAAGATGCAACCCCTCCTCCCCCAGTTACTCATGGCAGCCGAAAGATGCAAAGCAGTAGAAAGCAATAGAAAAGTAGAAAAGATCTTGAAGGCTGACATTATCAATGGAACAGCTTGCCTCCAGGGCTTGTGGTGGGTGCTCCATCACTGCAGGTTTTCAAGAAAAGAATGGACATTCATTTGTCCAGGATGGAATAAGGACACCTGTCTTGGACAGAGGGTTGGAGTAGAAGACCTTCAAGGTCCTTCCAGCCCTATTATTCTAGATTCTGTGTATTTCTTAATCAAGTATGCAAGTACACTGAACCATGGTGATGCAGTGGTTGGAGTGCAGTACTGCAGGCTACTTTTGCTGACTGCTGGCTGCCTGCAATTTGGCAGTTCGAATCTCACCAGGCTCAAGGTTGGCTCAGCCTTTTGTCCTTCCAAGGTGGGTAAAATGAGGACCCAGATTGTTGGGGGCAAGAGGCTGACTCTGTAAACCTCTTAGAGAGGGCTGTAAAGCGCTGTGAAACGGTATATAAATCTGAGTGTCAGCTGGTGCTCCATTCAAAATCCAAGAAAGAAATACTTAAGACTCCATTAATCAGAGAAAAGATATCTTTTACTAGAAATCAAGTGGTAGCAACAAAAGAATTCTGAATCTGAGAAAATGGGCGCGTAAATCACATATACAAAGTAATGGCAACGTTCCCACCCCCAATCGTTCAATTGGCTCATCCAATTAAAAGTTGTGTAGATCATCATGTGGGCATCTCCAGGTGGTGATGAGGCCTCTGTCCGTTGACCTTGACATAGTTTGATAAAGGGTTGCAGCTGCGCATAGCATAGGATAGAAACCTAAGCAAGAATGTACCCCCCCACCCAGCTTATACAGTTCTGGTTTGTAACACCTCCAGCTCACTTCCCATAACCATTCCCCCCTACTCCCCCCCGTTACTTATGACAGCCGAAAGATGCAAAGCAAAGGGAGAAAATCTTGAAGGCTGACACAAAGAGTGTTTTTGCTACTAAGTCCAAACAAGACTATCCAAGTAACTGAACCATCAGAGCAACCCAGATTCAGGTTCTATGTATCAGTGACCCTTCTTGGTTAAACCCCTGTCTCTAACCATTACTTGTGACACTGGGTGGTTTTAATTCAGAATAGGACCTAATCTTTGGCAAGATTCTCAGAAATGCATGATTAACATCCACTTGATGTCATTGCAGGCTGTTTTGGAAAGTAGTTGGCCATCGAGCAATCGGAGTGGCTACTTCCTGTGGACCAAGATAAGGAATGTCATTTTAGGAATAACCCAGTTTAAAAGAGTTCTAAGGAAGCAGCCTCCAAATGGCATCCACAAAACTCTTTCCGGTAAATCGTTCCACGTGTGCTTTCTGGTTTGAAATTCTAGGAATGTTTGTACTTTAGACCACTAGAATTACAAGAAATGTTTTCACATTGGTGGTGATGCTTCTGAGCCTAAGTAAATAAATATCATTAGCGCAATGATCATGCTAAAAACAGAACTGATAGCAGCACTATAGATTGCTCATGTATTAAAGTTATTAAATATTAACAGCCAGTAAAAATGACAGAACATATCAGTGTAGTCAGTGCTCTAATGGAATCATATGTCGTTCAAAGAAACATGGACCTGAATACAAATCTTAAATGCGGCACAAGTTTGGAAGTAGCCTCCATCTTAATGTTGCAAGGCCACTTCAGGCAAACTGGAAACTCTCCCAAATAATAAATATTAATGTCCACTTCCTGTTTCTCTACTTTTCCCTTTATAGTTTCTGTTGAAGCTGATGATTCCTTCTTGAATAAATGAAAGGCAAAACCATATTAGCAGTAATAAATCAAATTGTACAAACCATTACAGAAGCTGGAAAATAAAATAGAAAGATTAAACAAATGTGCAGTCTGGATGTAAAATTAAGGTGGCAGGGTTGTGTATGTTGCATGGAATTAATTACCATGGATCATATTAAAATCATTAAATACAATCTTAGGATAGGATAGGATAGGATTCTTTATTAGCCAAGTGTGATTGGACACACAAGGAACTTGTCTTTGGTACATATGCTCTTAGTGTACATAAGAAAAAATAAAATACATTCATCAAGAATCATAAGACGCAACACTTAATGATAGTCAGAGGTTACTAATGACTATCTTTGCAATAAAGGCAGTAGTAGTAAAGAAATAGATGGTCACACATTAATAGCTTGTGATCAATTTCTGGAAAACAACACCAGAAATTCTAGGAAAGAAAAAATCGATCATACACTTCAGCTCCAGAGTTTATAAATGTATTTATTCAACTGTTAGACCTTTATCAAGATTGTTGATTGCGTGCCCAAAGGTGCTCACAGCATTCATTAAACAGAATTTTTGATCAAATCTAAAACTTCGAATTTAATTGAAGCCATAAATGAAATTAAGAAGGGGAGAAGACAAGAGGGGAACGAAAGAAAGGACCAGATGCCTTGCTGGCTCAGGAATTCTGGGATTTGAAGTCCACAAATCATGAAGAGGCCATAGTTCCCCACCCCTGCTATATAGGCAGTCTTAATTAAAGTAGGTACACGTAGTCCCTGAGTTATGATGCTAATGCAGCCAGCTAACAACGGTCATAAGTTGTGATGGTCATAAAACATCTCCATGTGACCTGGTCTAGTTTTACAATCTTTTTTGCGTCAGTTGTTAAGTAAACACTGCATTTTTAGCATTTTTGCTAAAAAAACTGGAGGTAAATGGCTGGCACTGCCAACAGGGCTGAACTCTCATAAGAAATAATTTTATGAGCTCTGCGTAATTAATTTCATCTCAGTTTAATTTAAATTCTATGGAAATCAAACGGATATTTGGTCCTGGCTCCATTTAGAGGCTTTAGATGATATCTTCAGTCTGGGGGGAAAAGGAACACGTCCTGATTTAAAGGCCCACGCTTTTATTAAATTTCAGCTGTGACACAGTTTTTTTTTTTCTCCCTACAAAATATTTGAAAAATGAAATGAGCCACATAACATCATCATTTATGTTGCACTATTTGAAGATACGTTTTGTCCTGTATTTTAAAATCGATTTTATTTCTTTCATTAGGGGTTCATTCTGATCTCTTGTACAAGTTGTCTAAAGAAGCAGTTAATCAAGGAAAAACAAACATCCAGGACAGCATCGACCAAAGAGATGAGAAAAAAGAGAGTGACTCAAGTTCCCGTATGTACCAAAGGCAGTAACTCAATTGCATTTTGATTTTTCGTTTTCATACTGAGGCTTGACTTGTTTTAATTCCAACCATGGTTGATGTTGCCATCTTGTTTGAAGGTTATTTGACCGTGGAACTTCAAAATAATTTTTCCTCCTTGCTTGTCATAGATCACTTAGTTTCCAATAGTGGTGCTTCCAGGCACCCAAGCAGAAATGTGCAGAAAAACCAAGCTAGATTTCATGTCAGAGGTAATCCTTGACTTATGATCACAATTGAGCTCAACATTTCTGTTGTTTTTAAGCGAGACTGTTCTTAAGTGAGTTTTGCCCCAATTTACCAACTTCCTTGCCGTCGTTAAAGCGAATCACTGCAGTTGCTAAGTTAGTAACACGGTTGTTAAGTGAACCTGGCTCCCCTCCTTGTCTGTGCTTGTGACCCCAGGACACACACACACTGCGACCATCATAAAGATTGCTCACGTGAGTGTGGGGACGCTGCAACAGTTGTAAGTGTGAAAAACAGTCATAAATCTCTTTTTTTCCAGTGCTGTTGTAATTTTGAACAGTCACTAAACGAATGGTTGTAAGAGTGGTGAGGTGGCCTAGGGGTGGAGTTCTTGCCTCACAATCAGGAGGCTGTCAGTTCGATCCTAGGTAGAGGTAGATATTTCTCTCTCTGGGCACACTGTGAGAACAAAACTCTGCATTGGTGACAGGAAGGGCATCCGGCCAGTAAACACGCTGCTAACTCCATTCAGTTGCCCAGACTTGACCCCGCAAGGGATTATAGGGTTGTTAAATGAAAATGATGATTAAACCAATGGTTGTAAGTTGAGAACTACTGTATTCAATTCCATCCATTGCAATAGATACAAAAATACATCTGTTTGGTGACTAAGTATGTGCTCAGAGGCAGATAGATGGCAGATAGATTTTTTATTATTTGATACTTTCAGATTGATGGCTTCTTATTGTTGTAGTTATATACTAAAACTCTTTTGAATGCAGTTAAAAATAACAGGTATATTCAGCTACAGTACAAGATAATACAGTAATCACCATTCTTAAGCTTAAGATTTGTCCCCCCGAGGTCTGCCATAGTTTCCCTATTTGTGGGGCAAGGAAAAGGAAGGAGAAGTTTTAAAAGGGCTGCGTTTTTTTTTCTTATTCTTCCTGTCTACTCTCGTTTATTATATTGGCTAAATATTTATGGAGAAACATACAGTTCAAAAACATGGTTCCACAACACTTATAAATGGAATGATAGAAATAAATATTTTAGTAACAGGAGATTTGATTCTTTTATGTGATTCTTAACCAATTTTTTTTTAAAAGTTGGCTTAAGTAAAAAAATGGCCAAAATTTAGATTTCTTTCTTTGTTCTGAAAACTCTGCAAAATCAGTTATGTAGCTCATTAATTACACATGTTTAGAGCAGTCTTTCTCAAGCAATTTGGTCTCAGGACCCCTTTGTGTGCTTGAAAATGATTATTGATGACACAAAGGATGTCAATTTACCGGTTATATTTCTCAATATAGATTATATTACAAATTAAATGTCAGAAATGTTACAATATATATTTATTAGGCTTCACAAACCTCCTGAAAGAGACTCCTGGGAGTGCCCAGATTACCTTTTGAGAACCATTGGTTTAATACTCAGGTGCATGTTGAAACAAAGTGGGGATGAGAGATTGTAGCCACTGTTCATAGATGCTAGTCTCAATTACAACATTTTATTGCTGGCATTTCGGGCTAAGATGGGTTCACATCATCAGGCTTCTATTCAAACATATTGGGTGACATTCCAAGCTCCATATAAATCAATAGCTGGTAATAACCTAGTTGAAAGAATAATAAATGGAGTATATTCAGCCTTTGATTAAGAGTAAGCTTAACTTTTGTTCAATTCTGGTATGTTTTTGTGTGCATATAGTGTCCGAAATTGAGAGTGGAAAGGGAAGCGGTGACTGCCTCCCCGCATTAAATTATCAAAATTCCACCTGTGTCAAGCTCGGTTCAAGGATCGTTCGTGTTAATGATACAACTGGCAAAAAATTAGATTCAACAGGAGACAGGGCTATAGGTAAGCCGACGCAGCTGAGAGGTCATTCTAAGCGTGGGTGAATTGATATTTGACTTATTTTACATTCCCCTTGCACACGGCTATTCGTGAATGGCCAGATTTTCCTCAAAACTGGGAATAGAACTGGCAGACAAAGAGAGGCTGAGGCGGAGCCTGGGCCGTCCGTCAGCCCTCAGGTGGAGAGTCAACAGCCCCCAGGTCTGGAGGTGGCTGATGAGGAAGAGAAGGAACAGCTGGGTCCAGTGCCTGACGTGCGGATGAGCAGAAGGCAGAGGAGAGGAGAGCAGTGGAAATCTATGGGCTGGTCCTTGGGACGGAAGAGCTACCGCTGCTAGCGAAGGCCCACCCTAGCTCTGGGGATAAAAGGCAGGGGGCGGAGATGAATAGATGTGGCAGACGACTATTCATCTCTCTGTTGGACAGACTTGTTAGCCTGCGGTGAGCCTCCTGTAACTTTTTGCCAGGGCTGCTGGCATTCCTAATAAAGGAGCCATTGATTTAAATACAGAGGGTTTGTCATGTGTAGGAGCCGGGTCAGAATAAAACTCATCGTGAATTGAATAGAAAAATGAGGCTTGCACCCTTTCCATTAAAAAAAAACAACAACAGCAAAACCTTGTGAGCGTATTAAGGGGATCCTGTTGTTTTAGCAATTTAATGTAATATCCTTGGATTGTGTCCATGCTTTTTCTCTCTCCAGAAACCTCTGCAGGTTTGCTCTTCTCTTGTTTTGACAACATCAATAAAACAGGAGTCAGTAAAGATGAAAAGCTGAGAAACAAGCATTTAAATGCAGCTGAAACGGAACACAAGCGGATCGTTTGGCGCAACAGGAAATTGAGCGGAGATGCCCTCGTGGAGCTCATGAAGAATCAGATCAATCAGGAAGCCAGGCCAGAAGAAATTGTGGAGAGACTAGGCGTGGATGCCAAGATCCTTTCTAAAATGTTTGAGAAAAGAACCAGGCCAAAGACGCTCGACCTGCGACCAGCTGCTTTGGGATCTGCTCGGAAGAGCAATCTGGAAAAAGAATCCAGCGATGAAGACGTGGCCTACGAGAACGGCCTTGTGGATAAGACCGAGTCTCCGGTTATATTCGATTTGGAAGACCTGGATAACGAACCCATCCCGCCAGTGAAGCCTGCACAAAAGCTGACGCACAAAAAGCCAAAGAAGATTCAGCGGGCTATAAGCGTTCCGGTGAAGCCCGTCAAGAAGGTTAACGTTGAAACTGGGTTTGATCCGCTCTCCTTACTGGCAGCTGAGACGGGACCAGGGAAGGAAGAAGAGGAGGAGGAGGTGGAGGAGGACAAAAGGGTCTCCACCCCCTCGGCAAGGCGCGACTTAGCCGAAGAGATCGAGATGTACATGAATAATATGAGCAGTCCTTTAGCAAGCCGGACGCCCAGCGTCGATCTCCAAAAGGCCTACGGCGACAAAAACCCCAACAAACGAAGCCCGACCTTAGTCCAGCCGTGCCGAAGATCAAGCCTCCCTCCAAACTCACCCAGGCCAATAGTGCTCCCCAAATCCAAGAGCTACCAGGTCAAAAACGAAAGAGGAAGAGAGCGGCTTTGGTCCTCTCCCGTGTTCTCTCCCAACAATTTGTCAAGGGGGCAATCTCAAGACGCGGCCGGTGCGGTGACGCTCGCCTCTCCCACCTCCTTCAACCTGGACACGCTCCTGACCCCGACTTTCGATGTTCTGAAGAGCAGCATGTTTTCTGCAGGGAAAGGGGTGGCGGAGAAGGCCAGCAGGTGGTACTCGAGGTTCGCCACCTATGCAGCAGCCTCGAAGGTAAGGCTTTCGAATGGTTGCCGTGATTCAGTTCAGCAGAGATTTCCTGTGTGGCTGCTTGCCCTTCCTCACCCCTTGGTGGCTCACGATTGAACCCTTCTTCAGCTCCACACAAGTCGCCTTGAATGGCTCTGAAAGTCCTAGGTAGGGGTGGGCTGCTATGGCCATCAGGGCTCCGGCAGTTACCCCCCATTTAAATCATGAGTCTCGAGCCGAACTTCCAAAACTTAAAGAAGATTTATTAGGAGTAAACATGTCCGGCACTGCCTGGGTGTAGCCGACTCTGAGACTCATCATTCATCGTCACCCTTGACCCTGGTTTTCCCCCCCACCCCCTGGGTGTATCGTAATTCGTATTCTCCAATGGGACACATCCGTAGCCAAGAGTCATCAATCAGGCTCTCCAGTTAGAATTGTGCGTGGCAGAAACTTCGGTCACCTAGAAACTATCTTTGAAAACATTTATGGAATGCGCTTTCTGTTTGCAAGCGGCTGCACTGCTCCCCCCTCTCTTTCTGTTGGCAACTCTAAAAAGACCATAGAATATATTTTTATGAGTTGATAATGGGTTTGCCCGCTGCACAGTTTGGCGAACCGCCAAATCCCACCCCTGGCTGGCCCCTCCCACCCCTCCCCTCCCCTCCCCTCCCAGGAGTCTCCACGTGGCCCGTTTTGGATGAGAGGTAAGTGCAGGGCCTGCACAGAGGCTTGGGGAGGGGGGGAAATGGGCTTTCTGGAGGCTCTGGAAGGCCGGAAACGGACCTGTTTCCGGCCTCTGGAGGGCCTTCGAAGCTCAGGGGAGGCTGTTTTCGCCCTCCGGAGGCTCGAGGAAAGCCTCAGGAGCCTGGGGTGGGTGAAAAAGCCCCCCCTTTGCAGTGCTGAACCCTGGGGGCGTTGGTGCTCTCAGGCCTTGAGTTTGACACCCCCTGAACTAGATGTTTGCTCCCAGATGTGGATCTGTAGCAACTCCCAACCTTCTCCTTCCCATGCCTGTTCTTATTTCAGGATCAAAACTCGGACCGAACAAGCTTATCGTCCCTCGGGGCCCTGGATTCGGAATCTGCCTCGCTAACCGATGAAGACATGTGCAACAATCTGGAAAGCAGCTCTTCCCCTCGGGACGATGTGTCGTCGGCTTTCAAGGGCATCGGCCTGAGCTCCACCAGTCTTGAAAGTGCCACTTCTCACAACGGCTCCTCAAAACGTTCCTCGCACTGCGGTAAGAGAAATGCACACATGTTGTTTCCCCCCCCACCCTCCATCTGCTTTCATCTCGTCAGCTGACACGGGTGTGGGAAACTCCTGTCACCCTATGATCTGGCAGGATGGCCACCTCTCTGTTCTGACCCAAACCCTTTTCCAATAAGACAAACAATAATCAAAGGGAACAGAAACCTTTTAATGAGTCTTACGAATCCCCGGTTAAAAGGCTGCTGCAAACTAATTAACTTTGATAAGCACAAACCTTGCCAAAACTGTGCAAGTCTGCCAAGAATAACAGATAAGAAATATTTTACAACACAAGAGTCTTCAAATACCAACTTAAGATACTGCAATGTCCACGAGGCTGAGTTTCAAAACGTCTTTGCTTCCTGCAAAGAAGGTTAGTTTCACAGCTGGCTTTTATCTTCTTGAAGGAGGGGCCATTACCTTGCAGCCTTACTCCTGAGTCGCCCATGCTGCTGCAGCTGCTCTTTCCTGCGAGCAGCCCTGTGTGCACGTGCACTTGGCACAGGCTCCTCGGGAACCTCCTCATCGCTGCTGCCAAGCCCCCACAATCTCTGAAGGCAGCAGTCCACTCCCTAAGGGTCCTGGCCCCTCATCTGAGTCCTTGCTGTCCTCAGTCCAAATCTGCTGCCAGCTAACCACAACACTCTCCTTCCAGAAGGGGATGGCATTAAAATTGGCCCCAGAGATTCAATCTTACAAAATCAAAACCGTGCAAGGTTTCAGATAAAATAAGGGTTGAAGAATGCTGACATCTCGCAGGCTTCATGGAAGAAATCCAGAATAGTCTCTAAAAGCTGAAAGATTCCTTTTCGATGGCAGTTTTAGAAGAACTTGTTTCTCTCCTGCCTTCTTTGCCCTCCTTATTGTTAATGTCTTCTTTAATGGTTGAAATGATAGAAATAAAACTTCCCAGAATTACTGGGAGTCAGGCAGCAAATATATTTTAATTATTTCTATTATTATTATTATTCTTTTCTCTTTGAAATAAAGGGAGGGGGAGGCTAGGACGAGATTTTCTTTTCCAGGACTAGTGTAAATATTTGCTTTTACAATGTCCTTTTGTTCTTTAGGCTCCTTTTCAAAATCAGAGGTGGTTTCTTCTTGCAGTCCAAGTAGCACCAGCGTCTTCCAGAATTATGCCCTGGAGGTACAGTATATTTTGCTATCGTTACCATAAACCTGGTAAAACAGATTTCAAAAGAAGATTTATTTGCCTTCTACTTTTGCATTACATGATTTTATCCTAAAATTCTAAACATTTCAATCCAAGGAATTTTGCGATTTAATCAGCTGGAATTTCATGGGAGCATTTTTGGACAGGTATTCTAAGGAACCCATCACCGTTCAAATAAGCCCTGCAAAGCGTCATCACCACCACCTGGACTGACCCCCCCTCTTTTTTTTCTCCTATAGTCCCAGAATATGGGAGCTACTATGAGAAAAATAAAAAGAACAAATCAGTCTAAAATGTATTTGTCAGCTGTATACATAGATTAATTCAGCTGTTAATTTTGTTGACATTACTGTGCCGCCACTTTTTCTTCGGCTGAAGAAACTAATTAATTTCACTGCCCGCTTTGACCTCCTGTTTCAGCATCAGGGCTTTTTAAATTAGATAATCAATTCAAAGCTTGGAAAGGCACTGGTTTGATCCTCAATCCCCCAGAGCTAATTAAAAGGTGTGGATTGGTTGGCTCTGATCTTGGCCTCATTATTTATATTTCAATTAATACGGACAACACTTGCCCCCATGAGTCCATTATTATTGTCTATTGGGGAGAAGAGGTGTCCATTAAACTGGAATGTCCATCAAATCTGAATTGATGCGTATTCTGCCTATTTTACACTTGAATAAAATTCACTCACAGAAGACTAGAGCGTATGGACATATTTTAAAGTTCTTGCTCAAAGTCTGCTAAACCATTAAATGAGGATTTGTGGTGTGAACAGCACAGCTTTATATCCAATATTACCATCCTTAAGAAGAAGAAAAAAGACTGCATTCTAATTACTCCCCAATCGGTCCTTTAAATCAGGGATCCCCAACCTTTTCGACGCCGCGGCCCGGTTCCGACATCAGCTGGGCGCCGCGGCCCGGTACCGGCGTCAACTGGGCGCCGCCATCTTTTTATGACGAAAAGGCGCTTCCGGTGAGCTTTCTACCCGGAAAAGCTCACCAGAAGCGCTTTTTTACCAAAAAAAAGATGGCGGCGCCCAGCAACCAGCGGCCCGGTAAGGCTTGTTCCACGGCCCGGTACCGGTCCGCGGACCGGCGGTTGGGGACCCCTGCTTTAAATGCAATTAGTACGAAGGGGTCCTTGTTGCTCTCTGAGCTTGGTTGATTTCTTGCAGACATTTCATGACCCAACTAGGTAACATCATCAGTGCTGGAAGAGAGTGGGGTTTGCCAAAGGAGGATGAGGAGGATGAGGACTTGGTTGTTTTCTCGCAGACGTTTCATTACCCTAACCAGATAACATCTTCATTGCTAGACCGGGGAATGCTGACTGGGGAATTCTGGGAGTTGAAGTCCATTACATCTTCAAGCTGCTACGGTTGAGAAACACTACAATTCGAGTCCCTGCAACCCAAATTCTTTCAGATGCCCAATGGTGTGCCAAGTATGGCACTGCAGTTAGAAGGAGGAGGATAAAATGGGAACCTGGAGCCTGTTCACAGCTATTTGTTCTTCTGCCCTTAGGGCCCAGCCCCCTTAATCCTAATCCATCCCTTTTTAACTTCCATGGATGTGGGAAGTAGAGAAGACAATCATTCCCGTTCAGCTCACCCCACAGATAATCTTCATCACATCACACTCGTGTCAGAAATACCGAAGTGCTTCCGTGTTGAAAGGATGATCTGGTGACGTCACCGTTGCTGAGGGGGGGGACATCCAGTTGGGGGTCCTCCTTTCGTGACCTCCACAGGAGCTGGAGCAAAGGACGGGAGCAGGGGCTTTACAGGGGTTTGGGAGAGCCCCTAGCTAAGATGCTGTGCATTTCGGAGAACCTCCAAATCCCACTCCTGGCTGGCCCTGCCCCCCCCCCATCCTGCCTCGCCCCTCCCAGGTGTCCCCATGCAACCTGTTTTGGATGCAGGTAAGGGCAGGGCACACACAGAGGCTCAGGGAGGGCGAAAAACAGACCTCCTGGATGTTCAGGAAGGCCGGAAATGGGCCCGTTTCTGGCTTCCAGAGAGCCTCCGGAGCCCGGGGAGGGCAAAAATGCCCCCCCCCTGCCGCCGCCATAATGCAGGAGGCCGACTAGGCCACGCCCATCCAGCCACCAGGCAGAGAACCCGTTGCTAAAAAATTTTGAAGCCCACCCCTGGGCAGGAGCTCACCCTACCTCATGGTAGCATTGGGGTCTTGGAGGCAGGTGTCAGGTTTCCAAGTAATAGACCCCTAGCAAGCAAAACCCCCAAGGCAAAGAAGAGCTCTGTTGGATATATCCTATTGGCACAGATCTGGTGAAAACCGACTCTGAAAGCTCCTGCAGTTTTCACCTAATTAAAAGTAAAAAGTTTTCCTCTCAGCCCCAAACAACCAGTCACAAGGTCCAATCAATGCCATTCTTATTATCGTTGCTGATAACACTCAAGCCGGATGATCTGGTGACATCACTCCTCCTTCCTCTGGCCAGGTGTGAGAATGTCCTTGGTTCTCAAGAGAAAGTGTTTTGTTTTGGCTACAAACCCCCCCCCCCCCCGCTATCTCTAATCCCACCCACCCCTCCCTATCCCTCAGCACCAGTGTGGCAACACTGAAGCTCCAAGATGGCTTCCGTCAGGTCAGCTTCAGGGTTGACACCGGGCTTGCTAACTTCCCCACCCAGCATCCTAACTACATGAGCCACCGTGTTCCTTGGGGATATCTTCCATAATGAGTGATGAGGAAGCCAAGACAATGCAATGGCAAGACTAAATTGGTGCTGACATGGAGGCAGACCATACTGGAATGTGTTTTACTTCTACCAATGAACTAACTGGAAATAAGACGTTGAAATCCTAAAAGGAAAGTTATAGGGAATATGCTCTTTTTTTTTTTAGCAAAATGTCAGAAAGCATTTACCTTGGTGTGTTGTAATATCCTTCCATTAGCAGATCTAAAAGACAGGTATAAAAAGGCTCCCTAATGAGAGATTTAGCCGTGGGGAAGAGAGGACACTTAAAACCCTGCCTCCTCCCTTCCTCTCTGCTCCTCTTACGTGGATTTTCTCATTTCTTTTTCTTTTTTGTAAATTTTTTTTAAAAAAATTAAAGTGCATACAATTCATCTTCCATTTAACTGTGTGTCATCTGGGTACAAATATCCTGTGCAATAACAATTAAAGTTTACATCCATGTTCATTTCTTTGGTATTAATTCTCTAATCTTATTCTAATCTTGTTTATATACATAATATCTCTATCACTATAACGCTCCCTTTCTTAACACGTTTAATTCTATTAACATATTTTCTACATTTCACTAATCTATTACAGATAACAGATAATCAGAGTTGGAAGGGACCTTGTAGGTCATCGTCCAACCCCCCGCCCAAGCAGGAGACCCTACACCATTTCTGACAAATGGCAGTCCAATCTATTTCTATCTTTCATATTTTTTCTCTAGCCATCAATAAAATAGTTCCTATATCTTATGATATTCAGTTTGCTCCTTCTCTTTAATTGCAAGTGTTAATCTGTTCATTTCTGCACAGTCTAATATTTTTTTTCTGATCACATTTTCAACAGTAGGAATCTCTTCGCGTTTCCAGTTTTGAACAAATACAATTCTTGCTGCAGTTCATACATGAATAATCAAATATACATTCTCTTTACTATAAATTTTCTCATTTTTGCTATATCCAATCATCTGCAGAAATGCCTAAAAGCCCAGGTTAATTTTTAGATTAGTCAGGTACCCAGACCAAGTTTCTAAATTTACAGGGCAAGTGAAAAAATTGCTGCATGTTTATGATTAAAGTTTAAAAAATGGCGTGATTTGTATGCTTATGAAAGGTGCTGTGGTTAATTTTATTTGAATTTTATATTGCTCGGTTTATCTGCTGAGTATCTTGATCAGAGCTTGAGTATTATCAGAAACTATAATAAAAATGGCATTGTTATTTACTCATGTCTAAGGGCAGGGAAGGATTGTCCTTGGAAATATCTACTGAACGTTTAACAAAACTTTGATATAAGTTATATGAAAAAGTCAGCAGTAAAAAAACATTTTTTTCAAAATAGATGAGGCAATTTAAATTTGTGAGGTCCCTGAAGTATTGGTATACACACAATAGGAATGATAGATGCGTTAATATCTGTGTACCTTGGATGAAGCATTGTCCTGTTTTCCACTGGATCTGTTTGTTAAAACTGGACTTTTCCCCCCAGACTAGCAAGCTGTAATTAGCTTAATTTGTTGATTAGTCAACTAAAGCTTTAATTACTTTAACTGACATGGGGAGCAGTTTTTATCAGAGTAAAAATAATCTGTCTTTTCGGAAGCCTTTTCAGTGCTGGTACTTGGTGCTACCTTTAACTATGCTGTTGAAAATGTTGTCCAGTTATGTTAAAATAATAGTAATAATAACAGTCTCTACAACCTTCTGGCCAGCGAACATCCTTCTATTTTGATCTTCCTGTTTTTGATCTTCTATTTCAATACCTGCACAGGAATCAGAAAATACTTTGTGCGATAGCTTGTCCCATGCAGTTCTTCAAGTTATTTTTATCAATTATTTGGAGTTCATGCTCTTTGGTCTTCCCTTTGAAGCCTCCTAAAACCACTCCTGTTTGTGGGGGACAGTTTGAAGGACCAGAGGTTCTTGCCATACCCCGTTAAAATTCTCCTCCTCAGATGCAGTGACTGGCATCCTTCCACAGTCTTTGCCCCGTGCCCAAAACTGCAGTTCTGAGTTTATAGCTACTGCTTTCCTTTAAGGAAAAACCTTGCGAATAGAAAGTCATTCCAGAATGCCCAGTGAGGCTTCAACATATCCATCTTTTGTGGGGTAGAATGTGATACTAGAAAAAGGCAAACCAAAAATAAAACAGAAAGAGGGGACAAGAAGAGCAAAGAGAGAGAGAGAGAGAGCAGAATTTCCTGCTTGAATAAGAAGAGCATTTTGGTGGGGTCACCCCATCAAGAGAAAACACTCTTCCACAAGGGAGCGTGGGAAGAATGACCCTTGGCCAGCCCTGTGAGGTAATCCAGGCAAGAAGCATGCCCAGATGAACTAATTCTACTTAATTATCACGTTACCTTAACAGAATCTTGCAAGTCTTAAAATATATTTCTACCCTCACCTTTACAGGCCAAGGTACTAGGGAGGGTCTCTTCTAAAACTTTGCCACACCCACAATTCCCTTATGAAGGCTAAGTTGCCTTTTATCTGGCTGTTCCCTGGCTAAGGTTCTTCCCTCTGTCCTAAGATTATTCTCAAGTACCATTATATCATCAGAATATATAATGACTGCTTCCATTGCCTACAAGGCCAGAACATGGTGGAAGGAAGGAAGGAAGGAAGGAAGGAAGGAAGGAAGGAAGGAAGGAAGGAAGGAAGGAAGGAAGGAAGGGGAGATGGGTGGTATGGGAAAGAAGGAAGGAAAGATAGAGGAAGGAAGGAAGGAAGGGGAGATGGGTGGTATGGGAAGGAAGGAAGAAAGGAAGGAAGGAAGGAAGGAAGGAAGGGGAGATGGGTGGTATGGGAAAGAAGGAAGGAAAGATAGAGAGAGAAAGGAAGGAAGGAAGGAAGGAAGGAAGGAAGGAAGGATATTTTTGCTGACCACAATTGCAAACTCAGCTTTCCTGCTCTGGAAACATGTATACATTTGTTTAAAAAAAATGACATTAAAAAATCCTCACTTTTGCAGGGCAGGGCATCAGGCTGGGAAAGTTAAAAAAGTATTCTTGCCTCAAAGAGACACCCCCTTTTCAGCGTCTTGTTAGCCTCAGTTTTGTATGCCAAACCAAAGACAAAATGGCCCCCGTGGCTTTAACTCCGTGCCTCCCCCAGGTCCTGATCTCAAGCTGTTCCCGATGCCGAACCTGCGACTGCCTGGTTCACGATGAAGAGATCATGGCAGGCTGGACAGCGGATGACTCCAACCTGAACACGACCTGCCCCTTCTGTGGAAATCTCTTCTTGCCTTTCCTGAATATTGAAATCCGAGATCTCCGGGGACCTGGGAGGTACTTGTTGACGGATCCTTTGGAAAGGGGATTTTTACTGGCCATGTTTTCCACACGCAACAATTTCATAATCACGTGAACTCTTTTGTAGGTACTTCCTGAAGTCCAGTCCTTCTTCGGAAACTATCCAGTTTCCGTCCTCTTTGATGAACCAGGCCGACAAAACTTGCATTGCTGATCCCCTTTCAGGGTTTACTACAACTTTAATTCCAGCTCAAAATGACGTGGTTTCAGACAGGTACATTTATTTCACGATTTTTAAAAACATTCATCACTACATTTATAAAACCTTCTTTTCCTCAAAATGAACCCCAACACTCCAAACTTGGCAAGCTTTAATTGGATGGAGAGACGTGGCTTGAAAAATTCATGGGAAAAACCCTACCCCAAGCGCATCAATTGACCAAATTCACACAGTAGATAATTCACACAGTACATAAGACACAACTGAAATGGGATTGGTTTGTTTTGGGCATAGCAAGTCATGTGAACACAGGAGTTTAGGATTGTGACTACGTTGGAGGGAAAAGGTTGCCTTTTCATACAGATAACATATGATAAAACTGCTGAAAAATTGGCAGGAGTAATTATTTTAATCAATGTAGTTAATTACTGGCAGCAATGTATGTTGATAATTTGAGCCATCAAGTAATTTTTAGGATGTTTTCAAAAGAATTGGGAGAAATGGTAAGGGGACTCACGTGAGACAAATGCTGAGACTCTAGAAAGAGTGCAAAGAAGAGCAACACAGATGCTGTAGACCAGGGGTCTCCAAACTTGACATCTGTAAGACTTGTGGACTTCAACTCCAGTTGACTGGAGGAGGAATTCTGGGAGTTGAAGTCCACAAGTCTTAAAGCTGTCGAGTTTGAAGTCCTTTGCTGTAGACTAAAATGTACGATGAACAGTTGAGAGAAATAGGTAGGCCTGGCCTATTGAAGAGAAGAATTAGGGGTGACATGATAACAGTCTTCCAATATTTGAGAGGCTATGACAGAGAAGAAGGCATCGGCCTATTCTCCAAAGCACCTGAGATCAGGACAAGAGTTAATGGATGGACGCTTATCAAGGAGAGAAGCAACCTAGAACTAAGGATAAATTTCCTGAGAGTGAGAATAGTTAATCAGTGGAACGGCTTGCCTTCAGAAGTTATGGGTGCTCCATCATTGGAGATTTTCAAGAAGAGATTAGACAGCCATTTGTCCAGAATGGGTCAGTGGGTCGGACTAGAAGCCCTCCAAGGTCCCTTACAACTATGTTATCCTGTAAAAGAGGAAGACAGATTGTTTGTGTTCCAGCTTAGTTATCAGATTTTAGTATCTTCTTCCCCCTTGGAATCTCTTCAGCAGTATATGTTGTTCTCCCGTCAATATGTAAACTCTTCCAGCAGCTGCAAGACGAAACATTTGGACACCACCTTCTGTGCCAAGAGCATCCAGATCCCTTCTCAGAGAAGGCATCCTTCAGCCGAAGAGGAACCGCTTGGCCACCCTCTGTCCAGAAGCATCAGTGCATGCAGTTCTTTAGAGATAGATAAAGTGGGAGTCCATACCCACAATCGTGTGGTGCCCACAGGGAGCTTGCCTGCAACTTTCCAGCGGAGAACGGTAAGAGTCCGAGTGTTTTTATTCCGTCTTCGTCTGGATTTTCAGACGTGAAACATAGCCTGGATAAAGAGCCCTGGTGGCTCAGTGGTTAGAGCAGGGGTGTCCAACCTTGGTAACGTTAAGCCTGGAGGACTTCAACTCCCAGAATTCCCCAGCCAGCAAAGCTGGCTGGGGA